CGCTATTACGAGTAAATCCAGCATAGGAGACATGTACTGTATTCCTAATAATCGATTATAAAATTTTACAGAAAACCCAGAATATGGGATATCCAATGGCCAGAACTTAACTTATGGTCATCAGATAAGTTACCCTGGTCCCACTGATAAGATGGCGAGATCGTAAAGAAACCGATCAACCTGGCCCTCAGTCTCAAGCGGCAGGAATCTACTGCTCAGTGACATGACAATGTGTAATTTGTAGTCCACAAGGGCTATGAACCATTTCAGGTCAATTTTCTGCCAAGCAGGAACTAACAGAAGATTCCCTCTGCCTTCTAACGTAAAACCAATCAGTCAATCATCAAATAGAGAACACAACTGCTCGAGAAAATACGAGGTTAAATGTATTTTTGTCATACCCGTCGCATATCCTTTATATTTACACATTTTTACTACCCAGCTATTCAAGGATGAGTATCTGGGCAAATCAACATTGACTCTTTTTGCAAACTTACGATAGCCGAACAATATCATACGTATTTCTGATCATAGAATAAACGGTCTATTAAGAATCAGTCATTCAGCGGTTAAGAGGGTTCATAGCCCTTTAACTAGCCGTCGATTTGACTCATAAACCTTTATGAGGGTAGAACAAATGGTAGTGTTGCAACACCTTCAAATTACGATAATTTATCTGCTGAAGTTTCAGAAGAAACAGCTTCAATATTCGGCCTTTTAAACGATGTCAAAAAACGTATACTAAAACCATGTGCAGACGTGCTATGAACAAGGGAGGGAGTGCGAACTAAGGAGCAGCAATCAGGTCAACAGTGGCTTCTCTTATTCGCGCAGTCTCACAAGTTCTGGGTCCGCTGCGACATCTGATCAAAAATAAGACGGTCGACTCCTTTAAATGTCGAAATGCAGTATCTACATGATACTCGTTCTGCGGTGGGATAGAGCAACGTCGAAAAGCATGACTGAAAATTTCGACTGCAAGACGAAAAGGTGCATCACGCATAATGCCGAAATATTAGAATTTGGAATGCAGTATCTGCTGTACTTGTCAAAAAGCAGCTTGTTGTTTTTCTGCGATACCACGCGATAATAAAAAAACGTTATAGCATATGAAAATAACAATTTGAAACACGACATGCCACACGACTATAAAATGGGGCTGATTAACAGCCCGAGTAACATAGCATGATCATACGAAATAAACCACAAGCTATAATGTATGATCCGTTCGAAATCACGCGTACCTTCAAAATTACTGATCCCGTTATCGACGACAACGAGGATCTTCTTGCAATCATCGAAACGGCGTTCTGACCTCCACTTTCGAAACTTCAACGCAAAATTGGCAACGTCAAACGATGTTCGAACGTTCACCCACAACACAGGCAAAAATACCGACTGCTGACTGGAACAGTAGTCGCCGAAATGAACAATGCAATCGGCAGAGGCATGTTTTGCCGATATTATGTCAGCGCAACAGCTAAAGTGAGCTAGACAGATTAAACAAAAAAATTATC